AGCTCAAAAGCAGGCATAATAATTTCATATTTGTTATTGAAATTTGATCGCCTCCAATTTGTACTAAATGGCATAAACTTATTCAAGGCTAGTCTTTACAGAGCGCCGTAGTTGTGTTTTTGTAAAGCAAGCATCGAAAGAGGATTGAGATTTGCTTCTTTAGCAGACATGTAGAGTAAAATTTGAAATTTCGACATGTCAGAAATGTCTTCAGAGATAGCTCAAGAGATTACTATCCAGTAGTTGAAACGCTTTTCCCTACGCTTTTTACTCGGTAGCGGAAATTACATAAGATACGAATAACGACGAAAAAAAAACTATAATAAGACTAAAACATATCATCAGGAACATATATAGGATATATACACATACATAATGGAATAGCGTGTGTATAATCTTTTATTTTAGTGGGAAATACAAATAAGTTAAAGAAATGAGACAACAATTTTGATAAAATTTTGTACAAAAATGGAGGAAAAGTGTTTTATTCGCCGCCATCCGAATTTGCATGTTCTGGAAGATTGCTGCGGCGGCGAAATCCTTTTTTGTCAATTTTTCTACAAATTGTAATGTTTCATCTTAATTTGATCCATTTTAAATGTATTCGATTTGCAAGTAGTTTTTTTCTCTTTAGATACGAAATATTACTATTACCACCAAAGAAACATATACACGATTCGCGTTATATCCCAATTTTGCTACAAGAAATAATTCACTGCCACTTCCAATTTACCCAGTATTATCATTTAGTTGTTCCACGTTTGGATCCTTTTATAAAAACGCAATATAATTTGGGAGAACTCTTAGGTATAGAAACATTTCCATTTTCCAAGCCAGATTATTTCGATGTAATTTTATTCGAAACTCTGGAAACCTTGTACAAAAAGTATTTATAAACAAAATATGAACAAACATTTTAGATATCTACTAACACTTGTTTATTTTGGATGGCAGTTAGCATTGAATACTATGAGATGTTGCAAAATCCGACCTTTTTAAACCAATTCTTTATAGAATCTTGAAAGATCAAGTCTGCAAGACAGTGACAAGTAATTACTTAAAACCACGTGCAATTTCCGTGCCTTGTTCGTACTAGAAAAACTGATTCTCCTATTGCATACAGTTTTAATCTTTATTAATTTTATAATATAGTCTATATGATAGCATGAAACATTTTATACGGTGAGATTGACTCCACGCCATGATCAAGTGAAGTTTTTTTTTCTTTCTTCCTATCATTCTCTGCTTCGCCTACTATTACGGTACAGTTATAATTCTGGTCCATTTCCCCTTATTTTATCTCAAAACATATCCGCTATTTATAATTTCTACTTATACAACTTACAACTACGACTTTAAATTGTGACAAATACATATTTTACTAATAATTTATTTCATAATCATTATTGGAAAGTTTACACAAATAGTATTAATTAATTGTTTTGTTTTAAATTTTGTTCCGCAAGTTAGAATTTTATTATGATTTTAATTCATTACTTTATATTTGCGTGAGCTTGAATAAAAATTTAAGAAATTTATATTTCTACCCATGTATCTCACGTGGGAACAGTTGTATTGATGTACTTAAGCTGAATTCTTCAGTTTTTTGTATGTCATGATAAATTTCAAAAACGTAAATATAGAACGATACTTAATATTAAAGATGCGATAAAAAACCTATTACTCTGGGAGCTCTCTGAGATAGGTCTCGGGCATAAAGGGTATGGGTTGATACTTTTATGGGTAATAACTAGTTTTTGTATGTGATAAGGTGATGGGGGTCTATAACTCAAAGTTATAAGAATGGAGAAATAAAGAATACCATAAATAGATAGTGCTTCGACTCGTATCTAAGGATATATATCTATATGTTTTATTAGTGCTGACATACTTTAGGTTTGCCTTCTGCTTGTTGTTTTTATCGATGGCATGGCCACGTGACGGTCTTCGCTATTGCATGAAAGGGCAGGTCCGTCCCGGGTAGGTATGATGACCTCACAGAGGACTGGCATGAAGTGGAAGTGCTTTACTTCTGCGCTTCGTATAGAGAGTGAGGTAGCCGGGGCCCACTTTATTTAAAGGTGGCAGTGCATCTGCGACCCTACGGGTGCGGGTGTTGCAAATGTTAATGGGCGTTAGGTATCTCTTAACATTAGGGTGAAACTCTCTCATAATTTTTTTTTGTGAAAATCGGCTAAAATAATTGCAATCATTGACAGGTGTTTACGCGGCATTACATTTACTACTTGTGCCAATTATGAATTATATTAATATTGTAAAGAGTAAACATCTGACCGATAATCTTAATGCGATGCGGATCTTCTGTTTACATTTATTGTCTGCCTTAATGGAGTCTTGTACATGATTGACCAGTTAAAAGCTTTTGATGTCTTTGCTTTTACTTATTGTACATTATTACAGCAAGATTCAAAATAGAGGATTTATCCACGTCCATGTACATCAGTTATGACGTTGCAGTTCCATCGTCATTCTTATAGAAGATGCGATATTTCTCAGCTTCCTTTGTTGTGAGAACAGTTGCAATTTTTCACCTAAGGTAAAACTCGTTTCTTTTTTGCAACAATGTTTATTTCAATTCATATTTTATTGCAACACTGTTAACTACTATCACGTTACTATAAGGTAATATTTTCCTGATTTGGAAAGCTGTTATAAGTATACAAATTTCACGAGGGCAAATGCCTAGTTCAGGAAATAACTTTTCCAACTTCGGGGCACAAAAAAACGTATCGCGTGTACCGTAACGTAATAGCTTAACAAATGCGCTAACGAGTCATCATTATCTCCGTCATTTGTTTCGTTCTCGGTGATATAAAACTAATGCTGCTAATTACAACGGTGAGCATAGCTATTCGTTTCACGCTACGTTGATAAAATTTGGAAACTAATTCCCTTTTGTTCGCGATTAAAAAAATCTTAATAGTTCAGTTTATCCGGCTCTTAAAAAAAGGCTAATAAAGCTCATAAGGGATTGGGTCCAATCTCCAATGACTTATAGACATTTTTTATGTGAAAATTTCTTAAGCGAGCAGACGATTCACCTGATGTTAAGCGGTTACCGCCACCCAAAGACATCTACAATAGTTGCACATGAAAGAAAGAAAGTAAATTTATCTAACAAAAAAGGACTCACAAAACAAAAGAACTAAATTTAACAAAAAATAAAAGAAATAAAAAATAATTTAGTTATACTACAGTAAAACAAAACAAAATCAATACATAATTCCAATATGAAATTCCAATATGAAATTATGCTGTCTTAAGTGATGAATATAAAGAAAAGAGAACAGTCTACATGTCTCACTGCTGGGCAAAGGCATTCTCTGTAAAAAAATTTACTAGGAAATATATTTTTTTCGTTAATATATGGAAAATATGCAGGTTTCCTCACGATATTTTCCTTGCTGACATTTGATAATACAGCCAGTAAATTAGAAATTTCATTGGTGTCGACACCGGAAATCAAATTCAGGTTGCTCGAGTATATTGAAATAATAGCGCCCGGACAATGAGCTAACACGATTCTATAGCAAGTAATTGTTGAAATAACGTAGCTGTAATTAATTTTCACAAGAGAGCTGGTTTTTATCTCGCTCAAATATTAAGCATAACTATTTAGCGAGGAAATGCCGCTAGCGTTCTTGGCACCATGCGGCGTGCATTACGTTTATCAGATAATATGTAATTTTAGACAGATTTAATGTTGTTAATATTGGATAAATGAAAAGTTTTATTAATTTTTACATCAGAATTGTTTTTCGCAAATTTAAGATTTTCTTATTTATAGTCGACCGGCTATGAAGACACCATAACTACTAACACAGAACGCGCGTTCATGTTACATAAAGATAAAACATCCGACTATGTTGATTTCACAAGATTCTGAACTCAGCTGCCACCATGTGGATCTTTAAGTAACAAAACTTAACAGAGGTTTTAATGTCAAAGGTGTTTACATGCTTAATGGCGTTGTAAATTAAACAGGAAATTCCGGCCTCTTTGTTTAGTGTTGGAACGCGGCCAGAATAGCTTAGTCAGCTAAACAAGAAATTTCGTTATACGTGTAGTAAACATATCAAAATAAAGCTGTATCCGTGAACGTGAATAGACGATAAATAAGCGATGTTCGTGTAGGATATTATTCTACCAATTTGATTTTCGTTCGTTGACGTTCGACACAAATGGAACGGATCAAATGACCATAAGTAAGTTTACAAAAATTGTGAAAAACAATCGTGATATTTGTAACGATTAAATCATCTTTGTCACCAACAGGAATATGGTAAATTATCGTTTAAAATATAAAATGAAATTCTAATTATTCTTTGCTACTTGTCAGTAAGTTAATTTCTCGAACCAATCATATATTGAATTTGTAGAAAAACAACAAAATGCCGTCGTTGCGTTTCTTTGCTTTTCAAGAAGTTTCCCGGTGCAGAGGCGTAAATGGATTCCGTTGCCTCCAGAAGATCCGGAGTGTTGAATACACGACCAGAAGGTCAAGTCATTTCCGAAGTGATCAGTAACTATGGATGAACCACTTGCTTGCTTTCGACCTCCGGAATAAAAACAACATTTTTGCGTACGTATATCATTAAAAGTATGTACATATTTTTATCTTTTTACGGACGCTTTAGTATAATGAACATTTTAAAGGAATAAATAAGCATCAAGGATTATCTTTTCACGTATATGTTAGCAATACTTGAATTCATGTGAAAAGATAATCCTATTCAAATGTAAACGTAATCGCATATTACAGTATTCTCCTCATAATCCGAGAACAATATTAGCTCATGTTATTGAAGGAAGGAAATTATTCTGATATGAATTTTATTACATTTTCATTTCCAAGTAATATAAAACGGTAATATGAAATGATGCAATTTTATGCGTTATATTTTATGTTGCTCTATGGTACTATAACATGAACGAAATAGTTGAGATTCGTTTTGTCGTGAAATTAGAGTGCACGCTTTATGTCTACATGGCATATTAAAAGACGAGGGAAAATAATACTCGAGATAAGTAAGAAAGTAGGTTTTAAATTAATTGTGATATGATTTTTCGATTTGCTGTCATTGTTATTATAAGTAAGTTTGATAACAAAACATCTAATATAGATAATAAAACATATAAAAATATTGGGAAATAGATATAAGATGTCAACAGCTAGCGTATATATACATAGTACCCACGAGAATGCTACATAGATTTCGGATGTACGTACAAAAAGTATGTAATGTACGTACAAAATGTATGGACGATTATTTGAAATATCCCTTGACATATTATAAAAAGAATTCTTTATCTTTCTTATAAGGTGTGAAATGTTGATATACGAAAGCTTTGGTGTCCGTTGATGTACCTTGATAACCCAGTCTTAGCGTCATCGTCTATATCACCTGTTAAATCGATTATGTTGGATGAGAGAAAATAATTTGTATGATGGTTCAGTTTTGAATTTGTTTATTGAGATGTCAATACAGTCCACATATTATAACGCACAGCATTTGTACGATAGTTAGTCCAAAAGATTATTTGTGGTGAACCGATAAATACTTGTCTTACATTCCTTAAAAATAATTGTTAATTAGTATTTTTATGTAACGTAATAAAATTCAACAATAAAAGTTTTACTACGCATATGGATTTCTTACATGTCATAACCATCAAAAAGCCTTTATACTCGAAGTATTGTGAATAGCGATATAAAATTGATAGCATAAGCTATTTATGTTTTATGCATTAATGAAATCGACATGAGTGCGACTTCTAATAAAAATAATAGTTACAATTTTGCAGAGAGCACTTCTTCAAAAAACCGGATGTGATAACGTGTGCGAAGATCTGCCACTTATGGATTTCGAGCCTGTTTGTATGATGTTCAGTCGATATAAAAAGGGCTACCAGTTCTTTGTCAACCAGTGCCATGCTCGACGGGCTATCTGTATGGAAAAAATAGGTAAAATTAAACTTTAGATTGCAAACGCGACATCTGCCTAGTTTTTAAATATCCATTGTAAAAATTTCATTCGGTGAAGTGTGATTGCGGTAAAAGATGCACATTAGATGACGACACATACTGCTAAAAATGGATGGAGGTAGGTCAGGATTTTCACGCGGTGAGGTTATCGACCACTATCGCTTTGTGTCTGAAGCCCTTGGACACGTAACGTGGAAGGGGCAGGGTCCTCCTGGCAGCAGGAAATGTTTTTCGTTTATTTATTACACATTTTAAGTTTCATATAAATGCAAAGATTATCCCTCAAATAAAATTTAAATTTGAATAAAATCTTAAGATATCATCATTTTACCTTTCAGTGCTCCACATGGTTCATCCCAGCAGGTGCTTCAGGAGCAAACAATTCTTCATGCCCTTAAATTAATGGGCCAAAAACTCTATAGCGTTTTGAAAGTCCATCTGATAAATTCGAAAAATTATTAATAAATCCTTGAAGTCGTTCGATTCGTGCACATATTTATACTCGAGAAATAAAGGCAAATTGCGATAAGAACCCACAATATCAAACGCATGCAATCTTCAGTCCTAGATGGATTAAGATCAAAAAAAATATTTTTCGCTCAGATAAACTGCTATAGGCATGTGAATAAAACGAAAAATATCTCGCTCTTGAGAAATATAATGCACATAAAATATAATAATAATTCGCATATATTATAATATTTTTTAAAATTAATCGATCATAGAATTATTTAACCTTTAGGTTACTTAAAATTGGTAAATCTGTTATAATGAGTAAAGAAATATTTGCTATAAAATGCGTTTCTGCATCGAGTGTCATTTAACTATGGTCACGCAACAGTCTTCGTTGTTGAATGGGGCAGGTAAGTTCCACGACGTCATAGAAGACCGGCGTGAAATTGAAGTGTTTACTTGTGCGTTTCATCTGGTTAGTTAGGTAGCCGGGGCCCAATTAATTAAAAGGTGGCAACGCATCTGCGACACTATAGGCGTTGCAAATGTCAACAATGTGCGGTGATTATCACTTAACATCAGGTGAAGCTCCCTTGCCATCTAATCACATAAACACAAAACAAAAAGATTGACTAATGATTTTGAAAAAGAGTGGTTAAGCATTGACTTAAAATTGATTACGCATTAGATTTTTTTTTGATTTAGAATAGACAAGTCATTCCGAGAAGGTGTTTCGTGTATTTTGAGAACTAGAGAAATAAAATCGTTCTGAAATGTTAAAAATATGTCGAAATACACGTAATTTAACAATTAATACCACGAAATTGCAATGTTAAGATGGTCACAGACAGCGACATTAAAAAAATAATACGGCAGGTAAAAATGAACAATGGATTTATTAAATAAAGGTCAAAATCACATTATGAAATAGTTTGAACTCAGGTTTGCATCAAAATATCTCATCTTTACATTAATCTGTAATAGAAATTCTGTAGGTAACGACTGGAAATAATAATTCTAGTTAAAAAAGATTAACCGTACATTTTTCTTTGTGATTTATTTCGGTTAACTACTTACTACACTGATTTATTTACCCCGATAGCTACTTTGTGCTAGCGGAAACAGGCGAAGTGACAATTAAACTAAGTGCTGCCTATTTGCTGCATCGAGAGCTCCTCCATTAAAATATTGCTTTGTAGCAAGATTCGCGTAAGTGATTCGTTTAATGCGACAGTTAAGACTAATTGGTAGAAAATAATCCAGAACCTTGCAAACATGCACGTGGCTCTAATACGTTTTATAACGGAAGCATAAAGTTCATAAAACTTCAAGATGTATTTCATAAAAAATATTGAACTAAAGAACAAACGGTGGTAGGGTCACGCAGCAGCCTCGGCTGTTGGACGAATGGGCTGGCTCGACCGGGTCAGTACCACGACCTCACAGAAGACCGGCGTTAAGTGGGAGTATGATACTTTCGCGTTTCGTCTGGTGAGTGAGGTAGCCGGAGCCCAATTTTCAAAAGGTTTTCAACGCATCTACAACCCTCGGGTGTAGCGGATGTCCATGGGCAGCGGTATTCACTTAACATTAGGTGAACCACCTGCTCGCTTGGCAACTTTTCACAAAAAAAAAGTTGATAAAATGTAGCAGCTGCATGCATTTTATCAACTTTTTTTGTAATCGAGGTACTTGTTGAATGGCCTCAGATTCCAGGACAGGGTTACAGTGACAATCTATGAGGAAGCCTATGTTCAGCAGAAGCCGCCCGTTTTTTTAATTGAACATGTGTAGCGTCAAGTTATTGACTTTCTTCTTATTGTATTTCTTTCAATTAATCAACGCAGCATACGTGTAGAAAGATAAAATGAATAATTAAAAATGAATTGCATTAAGTTTAAAATCTACTTTAATATTTCTGTTAATATTTTCACATGACTTCCATCGAAGCCAACATAGTCCTCAACATAATGTGTTGATTTTCACCCAATTTACAGTGCAGGGATAATTGTACCATAGAATAAGGTACCATAGAATAAGTTGGCACCACCCAATGGACAGCCACAATCTATGCCCGGTTCCTACATTTAACGGACGGCCGTTAGTTATATGACTTCGTAGCTTTCATAACGACTTGTAGATAAAAGGCGTGTACGCTCGGTTCCTATTGTGGCAGCACTAGCACGAAACAATTTGAACGACATGTAACCGTTGCGCCGTGCAAGCGAGAGCGGTGTTACCTGCGCCCGCGCCTACGTCACCGCATGAACCCGACGTTACTGGATTCGAAAATCCGCTGCCGCTCGGTCAGACGCGCTAGTCGGAATCCATATCTCACGGTGAATGCACGTTTAATTGCGCTCAGATAATTCCGCTAATTGTTCTCGCGATATAATAGTTTTCCACATTTCTAATTTAGTATCTTTTATCTAGTATTCTTTCTATTCTGTATAACTTCTTTTACATGTTTCTTGACTGTCTGTACGTTTCTGTCCGTGTCCTGTACTAAATACAATTTATATACGTGGCTTATTACTTTCATTTTTACCATCGACAAAATGGCCACACTATATTAACAAAACGAGGCGTTTTCCTTACGAGCCGTCGCATTACCTACGGAAAGTGCGTTACTAGCGTTCCTTTAATCTACAAGTCGTTATGAAAGTTACGAAGCGATGTAACTAACGGCCGTTCGTTGGATATAGGAATCGGATATTAAACAAGTATATTTTATTGGACGACGAGTTGGAGTCTGACTGATGACGTCACATTATTCAAGGAAACGGACGGGGCAGTCGCCCGACTGTAGTTGGGGGCGCTTTCCGCAAATATGACAACTCCCTCATTATTAATTTTTATGTGAAAAGGAAAACGAGCTGGCGGTTCACCTGATGTTAAGCGATAACCACCGAACATTGACATTCTCAACACCCGTAGGGTTGCAGATGCGTTGCTACCTTTAATAAAGTGGATCCCGGCTACCTCACTCACCAGACGAAACGCGGAAGTATAATACTTCCACGTCACGCCGGTCTTCTGTGAGATCGTGGTACTTCCCCAGACGGACCTGCCAATTCATGCAACGGCGAGCACTGTTGCGTGGTCCTACCACAGTGAATGTTTGATCATTAATGAGATCAGGAATCCGATCATTAATCTGGTCATTATCCAAAACGAAGGAAAGGTATGGGGGATAGACAAAAATACTGATTCCAAAAGTAGTAATGTCTGCCAGTTACGTAATGAGAGTGTTCAAATTATCTCACTGTGCTGGCCACACTTTTGTAACAAAATAAAATCGGTCAAGTGGGAGACGGAGTCGCACTGTCTAAAAATAATGTCTGTTGTATGGGCGCCCCACGTAAATATTGTTTTATCCTGTTTTTATTTGTTGTTATCACGGCAACAGAAATACATCATTTGTGAAAATTTCAACTGTCTAACTAACTATCACGGTTCATGAGATACAGCCGGACAGACAGACAGCGGAGTCTTAGTAATAGATTTCCGTTTTACTCTTTGGGTACGGAACCCTAAAAATGATTTTTAACCATACAAAATATTTTATTAGTAATATTTTCGCAATCAAAGCAATTAGCTACGCTTTAATCATTGTTCACGTAACAGTAAGCTTTTGTTACCGTGTTGCGTCGTTAAAAAATTCTCATAATACAATGGAGGGCCTAATTCTAGAATGAACAATGGAAGTATTACTATTGTTTCACAAGTTACATTTCTGTCGCATTAATATGACGACCTTAATTTCGTGTTCATTTCGTTCGGGCACAATAATTAAACACCAATTATTCAACATTAATAAACGTTTTAATGGAACAATTTTAGAAAAATTATCGTAGCTTACTTCAATTTTAAACTCCCCGACCCTGCAAATACTTGAGATCATTCATGGTTTAGAAAGGAACGTAAATGTTTGACTTCCTGATGGCACGGTGAACCTGTGAACTACCAAAACTTAAAAACTGGCCAAGTGCGAGTCGGACTCGGGCACGAAGGGTTCCGTGTATCTATAAAACGGCAAAACATCATTTCCGTTGTATAGGAGTTCCACTTATTTTTTTTTATTTTGTTTTTGTAGTATTTGTTATTATAGCGGAAGCACAAAAAAAAATCAAATCCGTGAAAATTTCAACTGTCTAGCTATCACGGTTCATGAGATACAGCATGGTGACAGATAGTGAAATATAACATAACATATACATACAATATATCAATTGGCTTTCAATAGTTTCTTTTTTCGCCGGTTCTTCTCAGGTCGGTGGATTTTTCGCAAGTTAATAGCGTTTTGATAATCAATAGTAAGTGTAATGCTTCTATATTCGCCTAGTGGTCGAAATTCGACCTTAATTAATTATACATGGTAGTGTGTAATGTTTTTTTATTTAATGTTTATTTATGCATAATTAAAAAAAAAGTTGGCATTCTAGACGCCTTCTCTATATAAACTATAAGTGTGGGTAATTTTTTACTCCTCTGTTCCCGCAATTTTCGTAAAAAGGGGTATAAATTTTTTATTTTAAATATGTATTAATAATAGAAGCCCAATGATTTATTTTTTCTGTGAAGAAAAAGCAAAGATGGAAGAAATCAATGATAATTACGTGTCGTTCAGTCGTTTACAAAAAGAAAAATTGTATTCTCTTTCTTTATGTATTAAGGTTGTATTTATGGTATACAAAGGAAGAACGTAAAAACCTCACTAGCGAACAAAGACCGAATTATTTTTTCGTTTCATTTCACGTTTCCGTCACGAATCTTTTATAAAATAACCACGCATAATGAGCCATGAATAAACGCGTTCCTTTGTTCAAATATTTCATAAACTCATTTGGTGGTTTTTAATGTTTAACGTTATATTTCATACCTTAGTTTTCCAAGTTCCACTCACAACCCACACTTTTAAGTAAATTGTAATAAAATCCCTACTGA